TTGAATGATAGATAGTTGTAAACTACTGACTTTAAAATAACTGGTGGGATTCGTTTCTATCATGAGACTGTAACTACATTTTGCACCAAAACAGAATCACAGTTAAACAATTATTCCTTTTTAAAAGTGTTGATAGAACAAGGAGAAGATGCAACTGATCTGTAAAACGTTATGTATTTGTGCTATACATTTCGGAATATCTAGTCACGCCTTTTTCATGGAATTAATAAAAGTTTAATTAAATATAATTTTACTGAGATTTATGAAGACCATAGTTTTGTAGATAGAATTATTAATAAATCACTGTTAAACCACCATTAAAAACCTGTAATTACTGGACGGCAGTTTCATTCTGGTATGTGACTCAAACCAGTTTTGTATCCACGACGTTTGTTACTCTCAGTATTATTAAACCAGTACCTACGTCCTCGCGTGTTGGACCCCGGCCCGAAGAGCGAAATTCATGGGGTAAGAATCCTGCGAGTAACAGGAGTCGTGGATGCACACTGTTGATGAGTGACGAAACTACCATCTAGTGATTCCAGGTTTTTATTAGTGATGTAACAATGATCAATTCATGAGTTCAATGTGTAAAAATTACATGAAAGTTCCAATAGACATAAGGTGACAATGGTTAATGATTAAGAGAGAAAATTAACGTAGTACAGAAAGAATAAGAAGGTGGATGAAACCGTCACCGTATGCCATAAAATGGCCTAAAAATTACTAGGGTAAATTCAAGGTTAGAGCAATCTGTTTCTGTACACATAAGAGAGGTTTTTATTTACCAATATACAAGGCTTCCATAAATCTCAGAATTCGTCTTTGAACGATTCTAGTAAAATGTTAAAAAGGCTGTCTTGACGTCAATTTTATGCCTCTTTTCAGTTATGTCTTTTGCAGTCGCTGAACATGACTTTCAATTTCTTTTGTTTATCGGGTCATTTGACGTTAACTGATTGTAAAGTCACTTTGGTACACGTTCCATAACCCTTGATTGTGAAGTTCGAACACTCCTCCATATGTATGCGTCGCCACACAAACATATAAATTAATAAATGCAATGAGATGAGATGTAATAATTCGAGTAATGTCCAGGCCTATGTGGAAACATGGGCTTAGTTTTCTCAATTATAAGCAGTTTAGAAACGTAGTATGTTTTCTTCATAGATGAATTTAGTCGCTGTCTTAAGATTAAACCAATTTCTTCACCCGCAGATGATAAAGTTATATAAGCATTTTTCTTTTTAACAGAACAAATGACTGACTTTTGTCTCAACTGATTTCTACACCTATTGATGAACTTTAGTGGATATCAGTTTGAAGCCAATGTTTCAACCAAGAATTTCGCATCGTCTTCAAATGTATCCGTTATGAAAATTCTTTGAGCTCCATATTAGAGGCATTTTAGCAAGCTTTGCCTGTGTGGCAATGCACAAATGCTGCAGAAATTTAAATACTGCTCAGTCCAGGTTTACTTTCTATAAACTCACCTAGTTATAGTTCCATTCTTCCTTGGACTCAACAGCACGTATAAAAGCGGCAATTATTCAGTATTTTTGCTTCGTGAGTCATGAAAATATCATCATAAATACTAATGTAATTATGCTGCAACTAAAAGACATTGAAAACTTCATCGCGAATAACGAAAATATCATCCATAAATCTCCAGTAGAGAGCAAACAAACGAACAGGCTTACTGAATAAAATTTCGATATAAGCCACTTATCAGACAACTAAGAACGGTCTAAAACTTATTAAACTAACGGAAGTGAATTACAAAATTTCAAGAAGATCATAAGGATTGAACAAAGAAAAGTATATTTGTTGACAACTGGAGCTAATATATCAAGTGTCCTCTCATCCTACTTGCTAAAGCATTGCTGCAATCAGGTCCAGTATGATTCCACTCTCTTCTGGTTTCGGCTGCTCAACTCTGACTGCTCCATCTGGTAGCTCGGTCGACGATTTCTTCTTATTCTTTTCTAATGACCTCCCTGAATGCAAATCAATAATAATAATTTACAACATCACAAATGCAATAATGGAATATTTCGATGAGCATACATGAAACCAACACTCTGGTCACATGAGTGAAAACGATACAATCGAAATGTGCAAATGAAATATGTGATTGAATGAATCATATGAACAATACCTGGTCTCGGATACTTCCTAGCGAGTTTGGAATTCTTCGCTGACTTGTCGGCTACTGGTGCCTTAACACTAACTACAATGAACGAAATAGTCTGAATTCAAACATCATGATCTACCTGTTGTGTCAGCTTCGATCTCCTGTAGTATCGTGTACAAACACAGGCAGATGAGTAGAACCTATATTTTACAAATAGTGTTATTGGATTCAATGGTTTCTGACCCTGAATTCGCATTCATTGTTGGGGAACAGCTATGATCACTATTCAACGTCCTATGTGCATAATTATATAGGAGAACTTGCAGGTGAAGTGGAAACAACGAAAGAATGTGTCGGAGTAGCCCTGAATGTCTCTATTGATTTGCTGACATGAAACTGTCATCTGTCATAATATTGTGGACTTATGTTCCGATTGATTTCTACTGTAGTTGGTTGTATTAGAGAAATGTGGCCAAATCAGTGAATTGGCAAGTTTAAATACCGATTGAAATTGATGCGTTGTCCTGTATTTCAACCATAAATGTGACGTTCACATTGAATGTTAAAATATGTCAGTCACCATAACCTCATTGTGTAAGTAAACTCATTGAATTGGAGAAATGATTTTATCTCATTGAGGTAGGTATTATGAATTTGAGATGGCGTAGATTACTCGCACTTCATCCGAATAATATGGAAGCAGTTGGTGCGCTTACATACAATCACAATATTTCAATACAAATGTGGATATCACTGACCAGTCATTTGTAATAATGTATACTTCGACCCGTCAGCATTTGAAGCATAATGTGTGAGAGAAAGATAGAGACGAAACACTGTTTTTCCATGAATCAGGTTGACTGTCAACATATTGAAATTCAGTGAAAATATTTCAGTCATCATCAGGTTGGACATAATTTCGATGGGTAGTGAAAATCTTCGACATTCTAAGGTGAAGCCATGGTTCACAGATTTGAGTACACGCCTGTGCATTGCAAGTGGTATTTGAGCATGTTGCACGTGAGTGTGACTTCATGTAAATCTTTACTCATTGATTTCCAGTCACTTTACACCTGCAGATGAGTATTTATCGTTGTCGTGAATTGCTCTGTCAAATAGACTCAGTGTTATCATCCAATTTGATGTACAAATATGACGTTCAGGTGGTATTTTTATCCTTCATTTCTCACTGATCTCGATGCACCTAACCGCCGTACACACAACTACCGAATTTGATGTTAATTTAAACATAATTATATTGATAAATATCAGTTCTTACGTTTCGGCAAATGAGCTGATTACAAAATGATTACAGATATTTCAGTATCTTTCTTCGATTAACGTAAAGATGGGAAGTCGTGTGCAACTTCATAGCTTCACTTAAGTACTTGTGACTTGATCTCAATATCGATGCAACGCACTCAGTGTGAACACATACCGAAAGACCCTAGTTAGAGTCTATTCCGTAGGATCAACAATGGCAAGATTCAGACTTCCTCTTACTTATGTACAAGCATTGCCCGCCGACCAACATCCTACAACCAACTCTATCTTGGATCTTCGTTTCCAGTTCCGATTTACAACAGAAGAATCAATCAAGAAAAGGCTCTGGAGATGGGTATGACACACACTGAGTTAAGAACCCAACTGCCTCACATCTCATTGTGGTTAACCTAATATTACCTGTTGTTACTGTTAAAGACGCAGTTAATCAATAATTCTAAACCCATGATAGCATACATGACATAATTCAATGGGACTTAAAGACAAATTAACATGGTATTTAATAAAAATAATTATTATTATTGCATGGTCCACTAGTTGAATATTAGCTGTATATTAAAGCTGATCATTATTGATTGAAAAGTAAAAAAGTCACTTATATTTGAGACATAGATTACTTGATGAAATGACAACCAGAAATCCTAAATGAGATCATATGACAATTTACGCAAGCAAATGGAATGATTGTTTTACAAAATTCATATTGGTCAATATCGATATTGATTCAATCGTGTATTAAAGCTACATGTCAAATGAAACGTCAAAATGACGTGAAACTCATTAACTAACCATGATTTACAAAAGGATTACATAAAATAAATATGTATAAATAGCAAAATTATTTTCTAATCAAAAATGAACAAATAATTTTCCATTTCTTTTTTTAAAAAAACTTTTTTTGTTTAAAATACATGAAATTTTCTGTAAGATTATTTTCGTAGAATTCATAAATTTTCATATTAACTGTATCAGTGATATTAATGAAATTTATTTTCTATTATATTAGATTTCAATATGGATAATTTTACTGTCGTGTGTTTATTGTCAAAACGCCAGCAATGATGAATATTATGATGGTAAGTAATTAAGCATATTAAAATCGTGAACCAGTCATTGTTAGATCACCACCTAGAAGCACTGGATGGCCGTTTCGTCCTTCTATGAGACTCATCAGCAGTGGGTATCCACGACCCTCGGAAATGGAGCCTAGGAACTTCGGTCTCGCGCGCGAACGCCTAAACTTCGGACGGCTGAGCAAGTATCCGACGGTGTCATTGTCCAACTTCGATCACTCTAAGGATATTACGCAGTCTCATTCTAGGACTAAACGTCCGTCCAATGCTTCCAGGTTTCCAATGGTGGTCTAACAATGATTGATTGATAATTTCATCGTAAAATAACAATCTCCATGACTGTATGATGAAAAATTATGCTTGTTAATCACAAAAGTACTAGAAATAAACTATACTTTTTTTAATAATCCATGATATGGGACTCATTCATCTACGATTGTTGACTTAAGTATATATGTTTTTTTATATAGATATGGGTAAACAATCCTACAATTAATGACATATTCAATATGGTTATTATTTTAGATATAATTGAAGAAACTCGATTAAAAGTTGCAGTTGTTACAAAAGGAAAAAACAACAGTCCTGTTGCATTAATTAGAAAAATGTTTAAACGTTACTACAAAGGTAATCATCATGATAATATGAAATTTTATTTATTTATTCATTTAACAAAAAAAATTGATCATTATAATAATAATTATAATATTGTGGGAATATTTTAACAACATACTGAGCGATAACAATTATATTTAATTTCAAATAAAAATACTTGTTCACTATTGAAATTGATCAATTCATTATTTCCATGAAACTCAATAATCTCCACAACTTTAAGCTGACTTGTTCAATTGATTGATTCAATTCTCAATCTTCCATAGATCTGTATTTTAAAGGAATGAATATATACTCTACTTTGAAAACTAACATAACCCATATGTTCATTCGATTATACTCAGTTGATTTTTTTGAAAATATGGAAAAAAAGAGTGACTAATGTGAAATAGAACATAAACACACAAAGCACATTCATCTGAACTATAAAAGAAATCCATATAAACTATTCATTGACTGTTTTACAAATAATACTGCAGATATCAACTTGTTGTGAAGACAATAGTCTAATTCAACAAAGATTAGAAAGCAATTTCGTCATACTAAATGTCATCTCAAAAAAAACACACTATTTAAGTGAATATAAAATAAAGTAATTTAAAATAAACAACTTCTGGACTAACCGTATTCCATGATGATACTGTCTGGTAAAATTTTATTTTAATTTCATGTGGCATTTTTAAAAAGATAAATAAAATGAGATTCCAATTATGAATAGTCTGCCTAAAATCGACCATCTATTTTAAGGGAAAACTGTCAAATGATGCTTCAAACTATCGTAGGGTAAGTTTTCTCACATAAACTTTGTAGCGATGGGTCAAATTATCTTTTTTAAACAGAAAATACATAATTTGTAGTGATTAATTCATGGGAATCTAGTCTGGTCCTAGTGTTATAAATGTCTGTGAAATTTATTGTTAACTTTGAAGTAATAAATGACGATATATTGACCTAAAAAAAGTAGGAAACTTCGTCTACACTAATCAGGCATATTTTTTGAATTCATAGATGCACAAAATTCTTTTCTTTTGTCTCTAGACAACCCTGATTATAATATTCAACCTTAAGAGTCCTACCTACATACGAAACCGGTAACTACCAACAAGACATATGGGATCGATCACTGTCATCATAAATGGGTTTCAGTACATATAACTAACGACCATAATGAAATTGAGAAAGTGAATAACGACTAGTTAACCGGAAAAAGGTTATTTTTCATCAAAAACTAGACAAGAAACTATTCCATGGAACTAGTTGTTTAAATCCAATGAAGAAAAAATTGTCAACCATAGGAAGAACAATACTTAATCAAACTACTTTGGTTGAATAAGTATTCGTACCGAAAAAAGAACGACAATTTACAAAGATGCTTTCTTATGATAAAAAAATAACAAATTTATATCGCTTATGTATTTTATCTAAAATAACAAGAACCTAACAGTTGCAGTTGATCAAATCAATTCATACTATGCTCACTACATTACAATTTTAAAGTTTGCTTTAATTTAAAGAAGCTTGGAAGATTTTAGTTGGATAATATTTAGAATTAGGATCTCTTTTTTGTATTATTAATGGGAGGTTTGATAGTTATTGTTCAACTTGTAGTTTCCATTGCCGAGTGGGTTTCACAACACGAAGATGGATATCGGAGATCAGTACAAACTGAAGTTTCATCTTATCAATGGTAAAATTTCATGATACTAAATGAGAAATTGGTGTGAACAATCTGAATTCACAATGTGTTACTACAAACTCGGAAATGATGACCATTGAATTCTAGCCCAATGCTCTAGTAGCAACGAACTCACCACAAAACACATAGCTTATGGATTGGAGATATTGTGTTCTTTTCAGGTGAATCATGTTGTAGAATATTGTAGCAGAACAAAATAGATGTCAGATTTTCCTCGTTCAATTTTTAGCTTATTTAAACGAGATATATATTGTTTTTATTCCACGTTAACTGATCGAACCGATAATTGTTGACTATCTGAAATGTGTTAATTTCTATTCTACAGAGAAGGCAACTGACGAAGATGATTATATTGAAGAGGTCGAAGAGACGACAAGAATTGTTTTTGGAAAATTAGACAAAAAGAATCTAACATTTCCCATACTTTCCTGATTGTAAATGTATGTATGTTCTGGCGATAGGAAAATCTTTCACCATCCAATGGAATTTCAACGTAATCGAAAATGATCGCCTGTGTAACTGTATGGTTTTTGATTGTATTTGATAGAGAAAGTGAAATAAATTATTAAAATAAATAATGTAATTAAGAGTTATGTGTAATACCATAACTCATAAATACAAATTTTTTTTATGTTGGGAAATGGCAGGTGTTATTGTGTAATGGCTCTTGACAATATCATCACTTCCTATCTTCTTTCAATACTATCACAGAAAACTTCCAAGTTGAACATATTAAATTCATTGTCAAGTAATGAAATTTTAGCCTCAGTGTGGATATTTTATTGGATTTTCAGTGTATACTGATATTCATAACTCCGTAGAAAAATGTATTTGATGCGACAAAAGATTTTTTTTTTAAGCAGAAGAAATACCAACAAATCGTGAGTGAAATATAACGTATTATTTGAATTTATTACCTCTTTATCAGAGTTCTATGATCAATTACACTTACTTACACACAAAATTAGTATAAAAATATAAGTTAAAAACCTTCCGCTTTACGAGGTTTCCGACATCATACATTACGCACCAATTAATGAGACGAAATGTTCCAACAATAATCTATTGAATTCATTAGGGTATCGTAAAGTTACAGATTCTTGATAGATGTTTGACCACAATCAACTTGATACTCTGATACTTATGCTTAGTATCTTTTTCATCCTCTAGATGATGCAGTTATCTTGTCAGAGATGGTGTTCTCCATTGCATTTAAAAATGTATCATTCAGCATTATCATAAAAAACCTTACACTTAACTTACTAGATGCTTTGAAGTACAAAAGTGATTGTATATAAGGAATAAAAACAATCGAAAAATTTTTTGTAATGCAGTTTATGTTGCGATCAAAATCTTTGGATAATAATTAATAGGTTATCGTTTATCAGATATTTGACTTCATGTAATAACGGTTTTCATTTAAAGATAGGACAGACAGATATCTGAATGTATGGGTGCCCTGTAGGAACAGTATATCTACCTCTAAAGTGGTATTTTCTAATATCGCTTTTTCCAACTTGAAATATTATCTTTCAGGTTGAAACTCGGAAAACGGCTAACGTGAACTTAAAAGAATGGAGAATTGTAGTGAAGCTGGAAACTAACGAACAATAAAAAACCTATACGTGTCCAAAATACATTGATTTAAGAGTGGTTGCAAACCTACGAATGACTTGTAGCCGCCATTTTGCATAAATTTTTAAATAAAACATCAAACTACGATTGTCCGAAACAGCAAATTTACAAAAATATTAATGAATATCACACTGATAATGAGTGGTAAATTACAGTAAAACCTGAAAATTTCATCGCGGGTATTTTAGCATGTTGTTAGTAATCAGTATTTCAAAGATTTGAATAGCTGGAAATAGTTTGACTGTTACTAGATTACGAATAAGTGAGCAAAAACTGCCTTATGGATTATAACTATGTAATCATATAATAAGCTACAGTGTCTAGCAATCTGTGAGATATTTTGTACCAAAAGTTGAAATGAGAGAAGTTATAGAACGAATACCATAGATTTGTAATTATTGTGAAGACATATGAAATCAAAAGTAATTAACGAGAGAGGTATGAGTCACACCATTTCGTAATATTAAACAATTTTGCGAGGAAAGATTTAACGCAAACGCTAACTATATTTGAGCATATAAAAGCGAGCTTCGTTTTTCATGTCCATTGTTTTGCGCTCGTCTCTGGTTTACTTAAAAGTATTACCGGTTCACCTTAGTCGAATAACGAGAACAAAACAATAAACCAGCGTCCATGTAGGCTACCATGATCCCTTGACCCAAATGGACTAGCAAGAAGTCTTGATATAGCAGACGAAGTGTATTCTGCAAACATCCAGTCATCATACAAATCGGGTTTATTTATGCACTATAGAGATGTCCTTGGGAGAGTCACAAAATAGAACACTAAAGTAACACAGTAACCAATCAGAGCGAAGGAAGTTCCTGGTGGGAAATGTGATCTCAAGGTCAATTGATCGGTCCACGAAATAAATCCAAATTAAAGACATTTATCAAGCGAGTTCTGAGGATCTAACATCCCCAACACATTGGCCCTAGACCACTTTCATACAACTTTACATAATCTGAATTAGATCAATCGTATGAGACCTTTGAATGATGTCTGATAGTGGGGTAGGATGGGTGTTTATTATTCGTTCTTATTGGGTCATTGAGCTGTATGTATGTTTCCAGTAATATGGATAAAATCTCAGCCGATCGCACTTGCACTTACAATTACTCCACTCTAAATATGTGTTCATATACATAGTAGGCTCTTCTGTCGCATAATTTCATTCAATCAATTCTTCAAACCTATGTACACCTTTTCACGTTGTTTTACAAACTAATGTACAAACTGTCCACTCCGAAATCAGTTCTAACTTACTGATTTGTGCTTTGTAGATACATATTTTCATAAGCATTTATAAATAATCTTTTAAATCTATTTCCAGAGATTGTTGATGGCTATTGAAATCTTAATAATTTTACGACATTTTTATGACATTCCATTTAGCCTTGTTTAGAATTACTAACAATATGAGTTGAGTGATTTTCTTCATTTCTCATTCTAGAATGCTTTACATGAAATCCCAAGATTTTGTTGGATAAATTCATTGACAAATTTTGTAATATGCCGTGATCTATGATCTGCCTTTGCTAAATATTAAACTAAGTTGAGAGATCACTATTAGTTTATTAGTTCAATGGATTTGATTTAAAGATAGTGCCCCTTTTATCGATCTATGACCAATGCAAATACTTTATTAGTTTATTGAACGTCAAAACCTTTAAAAAACATCTGAGGATAAGACAGTTTACTGCACTGTTTATGTATGGGAGAGCAGGAAATGAGTTTACCTACTTACTTACTTACTTACTTCCGCCTGTTACCCCCAATGGAGCACAAGCCAACCAACTCTGTCCTGGACTTCCATTTTAAGTTCTGTCCAATTTTAGTTCATTTTTCTCATATCTTTCTCTATTTCTCAGCGTAATTTATTCTTAGGCCTTCCTCTTTCCTTCTTACCTTAAGGGTTTCAAAAAGGGCTTGTCCTGTGACTCAATGAACACATTGTCTAATATCCTCAATTAATACAAAACTGGTCATCCAGATTTTTCCAGTTACTGAACATACATAAAAGTGAGAATAAAAAGTACGAGTAAATAATTTTGTAAAATGATATCTAGGATATCAATTAATCATTACACCAAAAACTTCTAATAGTGACTCGGACACAAACCTTGAAATGCAAATTTCACAAAGTTAACATTCAAAAATTGAGTTTATATTTACAAATATTAAGAACAAAACTAATATCTATCAATTAAAGTTTTAATCCTATTGTTTTTTTCACCAACATTATTAGTCACCTCCCTAATCTCAGGGACTCGTGTGTGTTGCGTCTCAATTATAAAGCATATTGTACAATGAATCAGTTGTTTTAAATTATCCCTAACTAATGCTTAAACTCATTGAAAATGTTATATGATCATATATATTGATTGTTTTTCGTTTTTAATTCCTTAAATTTCTTTTATTTTTGTTTAAACCAGTTTAGAATTTGTTATTATTTAATTTTTTTAATGAACAATATTCAACAACAAAGAAAAAACACTCACCCCTCTTTAATATTAGGCAGTTTCATAATTTTTCTGACATTTTGAAAAATTTGTTGACTAATCTTTTGTTTTAATAATAACAAAATAAAATTTTAAACCAAAAAAATTTTAAAAATTTTAAATCGTTAGTTACGTCTTATCCGACCACGGAAGAGATAGGGGTGTCACGAATTTCTTCTGAACACATGAACTGGGGTTAAATGCACGAATTCCTATGGCTTCTGCTATGCGTACGAGACGGGATCGAACTCCGTTGGGAATTGATTGAGATATACGATGGATCACCTGAAAAGTTCTGGACTTATCTACAATATGAGCGCTATCAACCAGGTGTGCTTAGATAAAACTGCGAATACTCTGCGATACTCTGCAGGACAGATTAACGAGAGTAATTAGTAGAACATTCAGTGCAGTCAAACTTGCGTTGACCCTCTCAAGTGGACCAGCGATGTACACACAAACGAAGGATAAGTTATCTGAGTTGGCCTCCTCTATGTGCATTTACAAATTCAGCTGCTCCTGTGGAGGTGGCTATATCGAGCGTACTACCAGGCAACTTAACCAACGAATGAGTGAACATCTCCGAGCATGGTTTACGAAGGGTCAGTCAAAAACAATACGCAGTACTATCTTGGCACACCTGTTTGATAGTGGTCATATTGTAGATAGGTCTAGATCTTTTCACGTGATTTATCGTATACCTCCATCATTTCCCAACGGAGTTCGATCCCGTCTCGTACGCATAGCAGAAGCCATAGGAATTCGTGCATTTAACCCCAATTCATGTGTTCAGAAGAAATTCGTGACACCCCTACCTCTTCCGTGGCCGGATATGGCGTAACAAAAGATTTAAAATCTATTTTTTTGTATATCCAGTTAACTAATATTCAACAATCATTAGACTGTAAGTCAAGAAATTATATGCACCTATACATAACACCAACTATATAAGTAGTATACACTAGTAGATTATATGCCCGAGTATAAAATGTGGCGTAGATTAGATAATCTTAATAAAGAATATGAAAAATATACGGACAAACTATCGAAAAAATTTAGTTATAAACTATGTTTGTAAAATAATTAAAAAATTATTATAGAAGAACATATGTATGCGTATTAATTACAAGTCTAAGCTATTCGCCCAGATTTGTAATAAATGTCATTCAAGTATTTAAAAAAGATTATTTTACATGTGTAATTAAAAATATATAAATAAACATTATATTTATCTGCTATGATTTGATATCTATAAAAATATTTCATTATTCTACTGAAATAAATCATAGGTATAAATATTTGATATTATTTACTGAAGAGATTGATTATATATATTCACATGTTGGTGTATAACTTGCAGATACAACACAATCTATTGACTACGATTGTATTGGTGTTGTTTAGATTTGATCATTTCATATGTTTTCCGGTGTTTGATACTGAATGCGATTCCACGCCATTTATATTCAATCCTAATGGAAATATTTATTCACATAAAGATTATGAAAAACACTTAGCTTATGATGGATTGATTCAATGTTTTTGGTTAATTCATGTGAATCCACAAGATCGTATTATTATTCAATCAGTTGAGTTTGATCTAGCTGATAGTTCATCTGAATGTGATGAAGATAGTGTAACAGTTTCTGAACCAGACGATGAACAAAATAACAATATTACATCGTCGGAAATCGATACATTCACAAAACAAATCGGTAAGCATGCATACTGTGGATCGACAAATTTTAGACTATTGTCCAGTTCTAATCAACTATTGATAACATTTAAAGCTCGATCAACTGGAAAACACAAGGGTTTCAATTTACGTTACTCAGCTATACCTCGTAACTTGGCAAACATCGTGGAATCTTCATTGGAGTCCTTTACAATGAATAAGACATGCGACTCATCATTCGAATGGAAATGTCCAACTTCACAATGTATATTGAAAATATGGAGATGTGATGGACTTGCTGATTGCTCAGGTTCCGAAGATGAAATGAACTGTTTGAGTCCCTTTTCGAAAATAACTTTTTTTAATGGTCGACAAAAACGTTCAGTTTATGATGATGAAGAAAACTGGGGTCGTGTGGTCAATGGTCAACCAGCTGCTAAAGGAGCTTGGGCTTTTATAATTTCTTTACGTTTCGCTGGAAATGGGGCACATGTTTGTGCAGGTAGCCTAATTAGCACACAATGGGTAATGACAGCTGCACACTGTGTTCAATCAATGCCAGACCCAAAGCGTTGGTTTGTCGATGTTGGTAGATATTATAAAAATACTGGTGATTCTGATGTTCAGAGAATAAAACTAGCGCAAATTGTTATACATCCATCCTATAATAAAAATATTTACGCTAATGACATAGCACTGTTACGTCTTCAAACTCGAGCAAGTTTAGATAATCGTCATGTTCGTCTTTCTCCAGTTGCACGTAATTCTCAATTATCCAAATTATTAACAGCCAATGTTCAGTGTATTGTTGCTGGTTGGGGTGATACACGTAATACAGGTTCAAATGATGTTCTGAGACAAGCTGTTCTTCCTGTGATTAATTACGATCTGTGTAAATCATGGTATCAATATCTTAATAAAGCAAGTTTCTGTGCTGGATATCAACAAGGAGGAGTTGATGCTTGTCAAGGTGACAGTGGAGGTCCTCTTTTGTGTTATGTTGGCGGCCAAACAATTCAAGCTGGAATTGTTTCATGGGGCAACGACTGTGCAAAACCAAGGAATCCGGGAGTTTATACGAACGTCGCTATGTTTTATGACTGGTATTCAAGTGTTTTGTAAACTTTGTTTTGAAATAAGCATTTAACTATTTGATAAATAAAATTTCGAATTAATAGAGTATGCTCGTATTTAAACTTGAAATATTTGGACTAGGTTTTGTCATTTCATGAAAATCTCGACGTTTATGGTAGTTCTCAAGACAAGTTTTTTATCACATATCATCTGTTTATCTTTAAGAAAATCTTAAATAAAGCCCAAATATGTATAACGGAGAAAAGTTTCTTTTTCACCGATTGAAGCTAATAAATGTTATGATTATGATGAAAATGAAATTATCAGCTCAATTTCAACTAGGTTCTTTCATAAAGACAACTGCATACCTATATACATGAAGTGAATAAATTAGCTAACCTGGATTTAAATAAAATGTTTTCTAATAAGATGAGAATCTATACGATTATTTTATCTGGCAACATATTTGAGAACACAGGGTGCTGACTAGGTTAACTGTTACAGCCTATTCGTTGCATGGTATATTATTGTAGAGCCTTTATACCTTCGTTTGCGTGCACGGATTCTAATGTATCGGCGTCTCGTTCTACCTGAAGATGTTCACGGAAAAAGATTTGAACAGAGTGGATGGTTAGTATCAAATAAGGTAAAACTTGCATCAGTTTGCAAGATTCTAAATGTCTATCCGCAATCATATTCCGAATGACCTGGAAAGATTCACATCACACATTGCTAACCATTTCTAGCATTCTCCAAAACACACTAAAATGTTTCCTCAACAGGGCGATAACCAAATGTAAGTATTATAGTTGCTTTTGTACTCAGGTCCGATAGAAGTATGTTTTTCCCCAGAAAACCAACATATCCGTCTGTTATTTTTTTCGAAAGAGAAAAAAAGCTTTAGACAATGTTGATCCTAAAATCTTCAGGCGAACGGTGGTTCAGTTCCTCTAGAACAGCTCTGAAGGTTAGGTGTCAGTACATCAAATAACTACTAACTTTTTTTAATAGGGATTTAATTGATATATTTCCCACTCACTCGCAATTATCAGTTGACTAAGCACTGCAGCTTTTGTTTAGTTTGCCAAAGTTGTAGCATTTAAAATGCTCACAGCAAAATTATGGGTTCAATAAGCGATAGTAATCAGTTTATCGCAACCTTGGTAAATTCAAAATTTTGATTAAAATCACTGGCAAGTATCAATTTTTTGTTAGTATTTTATTGCTAAGGTTGGTTTGTTATACAATCTTCAGTGAAATAACCATTATTCCAAGTACATTAAAATTCTTCTTTCGTTCATCTTTTTCGACTCAACCGATTCTCTAAACCCATACATACTCTTCAAGTCTTTTGTAATTATTGTGAAACCCATTTTATTAATTTCAAATACTAAATAAATGCCACTTTATCAACTCCAACTGGAGCTCCTCTGAGGCTATTGACGGTCACAAGTCGGATAAAGGAGGAGGGTTGGGCATGGAGTTGGCAACCTCATCCCAAATAAAACTAACTCGCTCGTACATCAGTTCAGGTTGCCATACTGCATTAGCTCAGACGCAACTGTCAGATCAAATCACATAGTGGTGGAGATAGTAAAAGAATTAGCTGTTATAGAGAATATTAGGGATCGAAGATACTATTGAAGAAAAAAACGCTAACCAGTAAAGCCGCTTTATCATCTATATCTACATTCAAGTGATCTCAAACTTATATAAGTTAACCAATTCTTCTTCCATAATCATTACACAATCTATACTAATGATTTCCAGTCTTCACAGTAATTACTGCCCCACTCTTTGTATTTTTCGAATCCCATCTTCTAACCGCCTTACACTCATATATATTAGACATTTTTGGAACCATGAATCAATCAATGGTAGCCTACCATTAGAAACCTGGAAGCACTGGACGGCCGTTTCGTCCTGGTATGGGATTCCGCAGCATGGTTTCATGGTTTCATAAATGTGTGACTTAACAATCTTCACAACCCCGTAATGCAAATTACCTGTGCTCACTAGTGACTAGCTTCGTGAGGAATCGTCTCCGAGTTCTAGTGGGAAGACGTGACCAGTGAAGTTCAACCTGTTCGGTTGTAGACAGTAACTACCGAAGACTGTGTATGAGGTTGCGCAACTTAGTGAATTGATCAAGTTAGACACTAACAGCCTTAGGTACCGGCTCAGTGCTCCGATGGTTAGGAGTTCGCGCACAATACCGACGGTCCTGGGTTCGAATCCTGCGGGGTGCAGGAGTCATGGATGCGCACTGCTGATGAGTCCCATACCAGGACGAAACGGCCGTCCAGTGCCTCCAGGTTTCTAATGGTGGTCTAACATTGATTGATTCGTGGTTTCAAAAATGTGTAACTTAAAAATCATCACAACCCCGTAATGCAACTTATATATATGAGAAACCGCCAAATGGAATTAATTCATAATATTCTGTTTCAACTGTTATTTTAAACTTGATATTTTCTAAAGAAATAAGAAAATTCTTTTTACTTTTACAGATATTCGGACAATCTAACTTTAATTTCGTATTTAAAATTTGTACTTGTAGTTTTAATGTGTCTTCTTGCAATTATATAATTCAACCGTCGAACTGATAATCAAATTCTTTGAGAAGTAACAACTCAGATGAACATTGAACTGTTTTCGATTGATTTAAAGAATGTTTAGTCTATTAAATTAGTTAGAAAAAAATAATATCTCTTCGATAAAGTGATTTAAAACAATTAATCCCTTTGATAAATTTTGACAGAACCGTGAGAAGATGTACCCTGGCAATCTTTAAACCATTTTATGGCGTAGGCTAATGTGACAATTTTCCTACCCTTTCTTATTTTTTCCATATTATGTTACTCTTCTCTCTCCTTCATTTACAATTATCACCTATTGTCTATTTGAACTTTTATTGAAATGACCTTTTACTAATCTTCATATAAAATGCCTTGACAAGTAAATATGTGTGTGACCAGGGTGTTCGAAACGTATAGCACAAATATATCACATTTTCAAGATCAGCTACGTCTTCTCATTGTTCTATCAAGATAAAGTTATTATTTATAAATAATTTTCAATCCCAAAGTGTGAATGATCAATTGATGGTAAACTAAAATAATTTGATTTATGACTGACTCTGTAGTCTTCCATTATGCCTTATCTCACAGTTTGTGTTATGTAATGAAATGATAACTGAAACATAAACTTTTTTTGTCTTTGCACACTGCCCAACCAACAGTAACATGTTAAAACTATTTAACTGGAAAAAATACTTCGTAGTAATCGTTCCTAGCTTAGATTGTTTGAAATACCTTTTTAGATGCATGTAAAATATCATAAAACTATGTTGTATAATGGTCTATTCATGATAAGTGAATGTAATGAAATAAGATATCAGTATTTTATGACTGGTCGTAAAATCTGATATGAATGAAGTGAAATACCATAAATGACGAACTGATCTGAAAAAATATATATACTGACTGTTCAAGTGAGTCCTGTTTACAATCCACATATATTTGCACTTAAATGCACTTAAACGTCCGTCCAGTTGCATCCAGGTTTCTAATGGTGGTCGAACAATCATTGATTGATTGATTGATGATTTCAAATGTGTAAAAACACTAATCTCCATAACTCTAATTGCAAATATCTTATGTTGAAATCTTATTGGCTATATTCATCAACCAATGAATTCTTCATCATATGTTGATTTGTCTGAATTCAATGGGATATTGGTTCAGTAAACTAGTTGATCTTGTTGACTGTATAACGAAAGTTAAAAGATGAACAATAAATTGACTTGTTTACGATTGTTTTATAAATTTATATTATACCAATAATACATGAAAGTATCTCATACATAATATCATGCTTGAATCATTAATTTTTCTGTGAAAATACATTTTTTTTAAAGAGAGATAAAAATCAAACAGCTACAGTGGATTATGATGACGTAATGATATTAGTGTTTTCAATTGTGATTATTAATATGATATTTACGATTGAAAGTAACAAACTCTCTGATCCAAGTAAGTTTATGCAAACATGTGAAAATGTTTAGTTTCAAAATTGTTTTTTGTTATTAATAATGTGTTTGCTTAAAGTTTAACTAACTAACAAACTTATTCAACTTCAGGATTGCTTAATTTTCAATGACAAAAGAGGTTTCATACTTAAGATTTCTTTCAGATCAAAACATTACTGTAATCATACGTAAAACACAGGAGTATGAACAAAAATGATTCTTTTCAATAAATTCACTTTACGTTCTACAATAATATATCTAAAATAATCATTCAAAAATGTGACCGAGTTTAGAGTAAAACACATCGCTTTTTGAACGAAATAGCTATTGCTTAAGCCATCTGAAAGGTTCTTAGTTTGACAGATTTCAACAGGTTGCCGTTAACACGATATTATACTTACATATCGATCAACAAACATTTCCCTGAATTACTAGTTCCACAAACGACTTGAATGTTTCAGTTACTAGTAATTAAACTTCAAACTACCAAATATTCATAGGTCCTACCTGTTTACTGTATACTGAAATAATCATCATAAAAATAATATATTCGTATTATCCCGATGTGCGGAAAAATTGAAAAATTTTCTGATATTTCGTATGTCACAGTAAGCCACTTCTTTAAAAAAAACAATTGAAATATTCCGGTAGTAATTGTTTGGAAAAGATACCATCCTTCATATTTTTTCCGCACACTTATATAGGAATCGATTTTATACTTCACGAAATACAACTACGCCTGGTTAGTTGTGATAAGAAATTTACTGGTACATGAATTGGGTGTTCTGGCTGGGTTTTTTTCTAAAACGATGATGAAATTCCACAGATAAACAGTCTAGTTCAGTAAACACAACACCAATGATAAACTAACAACACTGGGAACAATAATAATAGTCAGCAGTAGAGTTTGATAATACACAAGTGTACTCGTCGCTTTTCAATTGACTCGTAGCCTCATTATAAATCTCATTTCCATTCATGACTTATATATATGGCTGAAATAAACTTCAGTGATCATTTAGCTTTCTTTTCAAATATTTACTGTGTCGGAGTAGGTATGGAATTCTTATCTCATAAAATGGTTGATATTTCATTTCGATTATAACTGTATACCATATTATCCCGTCAAGTAAAACTATAGTTTATCATTTACATTTCAAAAATCAATTTTTACAAAGCGAATGTCTTATTCTTGATATAAAAAATAGTATAAAGTAATTAATTATTCTACATTTTCCTGAAAAGAATAATCACCGAGTTTTTGAAGTAGGAATTGGAAGTAGAAAATTATCAGTTTTCAATTAAACATGTTTGTTTTTATTCCATAGCATACTGTCGGAACTACATTATCATTGGTGGTCTTAAAGATTGGTGACCAAAGTGTATCATGGATATTACATTTAATGCTCTTAGTGAAATGCATGTTGAAGGAAACGTTTCAAATGAGAGATGAGATTATCTTTAGATGGACTTATCGGAGAAATTTATAATAAGAGAAACATGAATGCAAGGATATTTGGAGAAAGCAATAATATCATTTATCTTAGTATCACCGTGTATAGTCAAATATTTTCGGCTATTAAAAAACTACCATATATATATATATATATATATATATATATCCATTAATAAACATGACATTTTCAAGCGAAAATGAATTCCAATAAGGAAGGTTCCACTTTTCAACGGCTTATATTCAACTTAGCAGTCTATAGGCACATTGACTTGTGATACAACTTTCGTCCAATAAGATGAGTAAAAAAAGCCCAACAATTAGAGTTTGATTCCACTAAAACATCAGTGAAAATATAGATGTAATGTATAGAAAATGTATGGAAAATAGAAAGTATAGAAAACGTCCTGGTAAAAACAATCTCATATATTGTCATCATGATAAGATACTGAATAGTATGTATAGGTCATGTTAGATAACTGGATGTCGTCAGAGACATGCTTTGACACTTGTGTTTGTGTTAGTTAGCACTCATCAACAAGGAATATCTATATTCCGGGAGGAACTAATGCTTCTTCTGAGATACGAAGTAACAACTTTGATTGTCACAGTCATAGACGTCACTACAAAGATTTCTGGACTTGATTGATCTTACAAAAATCATAGTATACACTCTGAATTAGAAGTTTTCAGTATTTAACATTTCATTTAATTATAAACAAGCTACAAACGTGGCCAGGTTTTAAAGCGAGATAGATCGTTTAAAGTTTGGATTGTTCTAAAAATAAATAGTTAATATTGCGATAACTGATTCGAAATGTTCATTTGCATAAGTCTTTACGTAAAATGATGTTATGGGGTTACGGGTCATGGGTGAAAAAGATAGTTTTGTGATTGTAAACAAGGAATCATGTTAGTATCTTGAAACTTGATCATCGAGTTTTTTCGAGTTTCAGCGATTGTAACATTAAGTGTTGCTCTCTACATTACATGGTGGCTTCAGCCTTCTTAATTTTACAGATATCTCTTGACGACAAATGCCAACTATCACGAAACTGCATTTGGGAGTATAACCTCAATAGCCTTCAACAATTTAACATTAATAATAATAATAATAATAATAATGATAATTTAATAATATAATTTCTCTACAAGTATGTTACAGCAATTGTCTTTCCATTCTCCTTTCAGTGTGAAGAATTAGTCTTCAGATTCAACACTTATTAACCACCATAAGACCACTTTTTCTTATGCGTACTTTAGTTAACTGAGTATTTTTAATGATTAAGGTTGAAATAATAGGGGTGCTTTGGCGAGAAAAATTTCGATAACCTTAAAAATATAACGAAAATTTATATCGAATTGTAGAACTTACCTGTTTGCAGGCACCCGATTGGCTTGCATATATATATATATATATATATATATATATATATATATATATATATATATATATATATATATATATAATATTTAAAGACAAAGTACTACCAACTACCAAGTAGTAATGGATAAATGTTTGATCCGAGTTTCACAATACTCTGTGTATCTACGAACTTAAATGTAATCAATTTAGGCTGACTTCGATAGAATCCATTCAGTAACTGACTTATGTATAATAAAATGTAGACTTGTCAGATATAAGTTACATTCTCCAGAATTTTCAACCTGTTCTTATTCATCAACTCAAACCATCACACTTAGTCAATCACATTCCAACAATTAAATCTTGGCTTTCAATATGTTCACTGTGGTCATAGTGTGCAAAACAAAATAAATGCATTCTTTATTACACTGATTCCTATAAGCTACAAACAGCCTAAAATTTATTTATAAAAAAATACTTACTAAACCTTAATCCATGGAATCTAAATGAATATTGAATTCGGAACAGGAATGAGAATGAGGTACAAATAAATATGGCTAATCAATGTTGAGATGGATGGATATTATGATTTTCAAAATAGCAATCATAATTCAGATTAAACAAGAAAATGTTATGATTATCGATAATTATATATAAAATTTAGAAATAGGATTTTTTGACGATTATCATATTGAGGTCCATTTATCCAAATTTGTCTAACATCTTATGTTGAACGAACTGGAAAGCTTATTTCTCGCAGTTTGGATAAAAGCCAATCGTAGTTAGATCACCATTTTTATCATTGCCGGGACATATGTCTACTTACCATCAATCTGTACTTCTTATATTCTCTCTGCAGTTATGCGATCTGTTTCATTTTGATCATTGACACAAACACCAACGCGTTACCCACTTAACTATTGAGTTCAGCAACCGATCGCTTGTGCATTGAAGCAAAAGTTTATTGGGTTCAAATTCCAGGGCGATCATCAACTCTGAGATGTTGGCACATCGAGCTGATGAGCCCCGAATAGGACGAATCACGCATTCTGGACTCTTCTACTAGCCACTATCTGCATTTAATAATGATCGCACTCTAAAGTCAGGGATTCTGCACAGGATATGCCTGTGCCAAAAAGTGACTGGTCAATTACAGACCTTAATATTAAGGAGAAAATTCGAACAACCAGTACAAATAAAAATAATAAATCTTCATATGTTTACTCAGTATAGTTAGCATCAAATTAATCTATAGGAGTAAATAAGGTGTAAATTCAATAAAATACAAGCAAGTAATCAGACTTGTTTGATCACAGTTATGGTCACTGTGTCTACATTTATCAACGGAACTAACTGAATAAAAAGATTTTTTTTTAAATGATCTCCCTGAAAAATTAGGTCAAATCAATAAACTATTCCATTTACGTTTTCTACTTTATCATAAAAATAATTTACTAGCTCCCTTTATTCCTGTATTAACCAAGTAATTTCATATAGTTCACAGGACATGTGGTCGCCTTCAGTTTCGATTTTGTTTATTTTCTGAATTGAAACCATATCTTTTTCCCAACAAATATGTATAAATGTTTAAGTAGTCTAGAATTTCGTTATCGAAATTATTTATTGAAAAAAAAATTTACAATATTCAAATAGTACATTAAATGTAAACTTAGTTATAAATACCAAACAATTTTTTTATCATTTAAATGATAAATGATCTATTAGTGATTGTAGGGTTCGTCACTAGGTACGCTTGAAGCTATTACGAGTTCACCTTAGTCGATAAACGGGAACGAGACAATTACCAGCATCCAGGTAGGTTACCTTGAATCCCAAGCTGAAGATAAAAGACTTTGTAAGCGAAGAAAGTATATTCTACAAACACCCAGCAAACACGATACGATCAAGCATACAACTCTCTTTTATTTAAGCATCATAAAACGTCCTTGGGACAGTCACAAAAATAGCACACTAAAATACACAGCAGCCAATCACAGCCAAGGATTTTCCTGGTGGGAAATGAAATCTCAAGGTCAACTGGTCAGCCCATGCTAGCAAACATGAAATCCAAAATAAGACATTTAACAAGCGAGTTTTTGGGGATCTAACATCCCCAACAGTGATATTTTAACTATTACCTGCAATGTATTGGCTGAGATTCTTCATATGCATATGTAAATTGATG